TTGACAGAAGACTATTTAGAGAATATATCTCAAATATAAAGGAACACGTTGGTAATTAATTAATTATTATCTTTTGAAGACGGGGCTGTTTGGCAACTTCTGAATAGGTAAGTGCTGAACCAGTAAGAGGTCTGAACCATTAAGAGCTAGTATGTTGCTTAACTATTCAGAGGCAAATGTCTGATCAATTCAGATAAGAGGTCTTGACCATTCAGACTCTGTATAATACTTAACCACTTAGAGGCAAATCTCTTAACCATTCAGAGATCTGAACCATTAAGAGGCTGAAACAAACAGTCTGAACCATTAAGTGCTGAACCATTCAGACATCTGAACCATTAATAGGCTGAAACAAACAGCCCCTAATTTAGGAAAACAAGTTATAAAAAAAACGTTTTTTGAGAGTTTGATTTTCTAATATTTTTTTTTGCAGTGGTTGTCCCATTCCTTTAAGGTGATAAGAAAATGTCACTTTGGAACTGATTTATTTGACCAGGAGAACCTAAACGGTTGCCCTCAGCTGATCAAACTTGTTATCAATTGGCCTCACTCTGTAGAAGGAGCTTGTGTAGCCAAACTCGACCCTAGGTTTCATATCCACGAGATTTGGAGTAAGAAGAAAGTTTTTAAACCCACCTCTTCAAATGTGAATAGGCTGCTTTATGAAGAAAAAGAGGGAAGCCTGTTTCTATCAAATACTTCATTGAAATTCAACATAGAAACTATCAAAAGAAATTATACAATTTATTTTAAATCCATGATTTCAAACCTACATGCGATTAAGCATTGAATTGAAGTTTGAATCAAATAATATGTCAAATCCTAATCCAAAACAGGTTATCAAAAAATTCATCCATAAAAAATATACCTAAATTCTACCAGTTAAAACATGGAGAAACTTAAATGGAAAAAGGAAGAAGGTTAACAAAATAGAGGGAGAGATTATTAAGGAGAGATACCTGATCTAGTTTAGGCTCTTCATAAAGCAGCCTATTCACATTTGAAGAGGTGGGTTTAAGAACTTTCTTCTTACTCCAAATCCCGTGGATATGAAACCTAGGGTCGAGTTTGGCTACACAAGCTCCTTCTACAGAGTGAGGCCAATTGATAACAAGTTTGATCAGCTGAGGGCAACCGTTTAGGTTCTCCTGGTCAAATAAATCAGTTCCAAAGTGACATTTTCTTATCACCTTAAAGGAATGGGACAACCACTGCAAAAAAAATATTAGAAAATCAAACTCTCAAAAAACGTCTTTTTTTATAACTTGTTTTCCTAAATTAGGGGCTGTTTGTTTCAGCCTATTAATGGTTCAGATGTCTGGATGGTTCAGCACTTAATGGTTCAGACTGTTTGTTTCAGCCTCTTAATGGTTCAGCTCTGAATGGTTAAGAGATTTGCCTCTGAGTGGTTAAGTATTATACAGAGTCTGAATGGTCAAGACCTCTTATCTGAATTGATCAGACATTTGCCTCTGAATAGTTAAGCAACATACTAGCTCTTAATGGTTCAGACCTCTTACTGGTTCAGCACTTAATGGTTCAGACCTCTTACTGGTTCAGCACTTACCTATTCAGAAGTTGCCAAACAGCCCCGTCTTCAAAAGATAATAATTAATTAATTACCAACGTGTTCCTTTATATTTGAGATATATTCTCTAAATAGTCTTCTGTCAAAATTGCTTATTATATGACAATTAAATGGAAAGTATTTTGGTGTTTTACATCATTTAAATTACAAATAAGTCCTCAAAATACTCCTTTCAAAATAAGTGGGTGATTGCTAAAGGAACAGACCCCCGAGTAAGCTCATGGACTCCATTTTGAGAAAACATTTACTTAGAAATTATCAATTTGGAAAAA